TTCATACATCCGTTATGTGAGAAACACAACGGAAAGGATCTAAATTCACTTTACCCCTTTGGAGTACATTATGGTGAATAGGACTTATGCCGAGTCAAAATTTACGAGAGAGATTTTTGTGTCATTTCTAAACTCACTTTGTTATCTTTTGTAAAGCAGATTGAAACTTGATTTACAACATTGCTCTTAGCTTTTCAACGGAGCAGATTCTCAGAAAAGGAACCGTGTGATGAAAATAAAATCTACAGTGCGATCTGATGTCAGGATGACAGAAATGTTTGATTGTTGGGGGACTTTATACCTTGATATCAACAGTTCAAAGACAGAAACCACTTATGATATATATAGCATCAAATTAACTTCAGGAATTTCTTTTTTCTCTTTAGGTCTAAGCATAGTTAATCGATTAACTATGGTCTAAGGTTCCTCTTTTCAAAGCGGTTTTAGATAAGTAAGCTGCACGACCACGAACCAATCAGAAAGCGTATGCGTAATCATTACTAGACAAAAGAGGGCGTGCCTTGTCTAATAGGCAGGAAGTCTTTCGATTGTTTATCTTTTTTTATGATTAAGGGCGCTGTCCTAGTTTTCGAATAACAACTCAAAAACCATATGCATAATAGCCAAAGACATCAGTTGAGCTCAAGGCCGAATTATGTTTCATATACAAAGTTCCACAAACCTACAAAAAAATGTATTCTGTTGAACATGTCTTTGGCAAGCGGAGTAATCGATCCATGTGAGTTAAGTGAGGTAAATAGAGCGCGTCAAATGACTTACTTACTTTGTAAAAAGTTGACGTATCGTTCAAGCAAATCTAAGTGGTTCCGGAAAAAAAAATGATGAGATTTATTTGTTACGCAATCCTCTTTGTGGAAACAGAATTCTGCTCACGTCGAGAGCAGTACTTCAAGCGTAAAATACAGTTTCCGTCATTCATTGAAGCGTTTGAATAGAATTCATAGAGTAAAAACCCATCGTGGATAAAAGCTTTAGGTAAACTGCGCCTCTCGAAAGATATAATTTAATAATCCAGCCAAAATGACACTTCCGGTTGTAACCAACCGGAAGTGTAACACCATGAAAGCACCTCACAGTAACAAGTCAATCAAACGATCCCAAATTGAAATCTATGAGTATTCGATCACGAGGTCCACTAAAAAGGGTGGAAGGGCTTGAATTTCCGCTGTAAGGTAAGGAATCCTATCAAATATTTCACCTTTTAAGCTTCTGATTACTGTGTTTGAGTAGCAGGACAAAGTGGCATTGCAAGTTGTCTTGTGAACTTCTCTTAGAGTGATCTTCCGAGAGGGCTTTGGGCCATATTCCTCTCGCCTATACTGGGTTTTTAGCCCGTTCGAGAAGGTGTCCAAACACGTACGCCCGTTACGAGCGGCGAAGTTCACAAGGTTCAAGCCACTTAGCGAAGCGAGCGTGTGAAAAGCGCGTGAGGTGTAAAGTAAACTTCAACTCAAACAAGCAGTCGACTCGAATCTGCGAACTTCACCGTTCGAGCTGCAGCTTTGGTCAAGCTCCACTCATTTTTGGTCACAAGTGCGAAGCTCGACAATTACCTTGAGTTTACGCCCTAGATGGAAGGAGTCGGAGGTTAATTGTCCCTCGTAAGTAGCTGCATGCAATTGAAGGAATTACAGAAATGGAGGAGAAACATACTTGCATAGGTCATTCCCCAGCTCAATGTGAATAGCGAATGTAGCTTAAAACGGGATCTTGGCACTTGCTTTTCACAAAGCGGGTAGGTCACGCTATTACTTACTGAGATACGAAGCCACAGTTTTGTGCGTGAAGAAAAGTTTTGCGTGGGTTTTTTGCTCCATGCAACGGAATTAGAAAATGATTCTTTTACTTGCGGGTTAGCTAACAACGTCGAAATGATCTTCGCGATATAATTACAAGAAAAGTCATTGTAGAGAAAGAAGTCGGAAAAATCAGGCTTTGACAAAATGCGAACCTGTCCCTCGTCATATAGTCACGGGCGCTACTACTGACTCCCCGATTGAGCTACGAAGCCTCATATTGGGGGCGAATACACTGTGCTGAGTTTTACGTGGGTTCTACGTTACCCGTAGGAGAATTTGATGATCTCAAATGGTATAATCATGACATTGACCGGTAAATGACAAGTAATGAATAGCTTGCGAGCGGGCTTTCATCGTTAGGACAGCGGCGCAAGCGTTTCTTTGCCATAGGGCACGTGTGAGGACTTGGCATTGAGCAATGCAACGGGAACCTGTGAGAGGTCTGGAAGCTTCTCCTTCACTTGTCTCAAATTTTCGTTTTCGCGGGAGGAACACACATATTCTACAGCTGATGAGGGCCAGCTGGCTCGCTCAAGCTAAGCGATAAATCGCAACTAAAACAATTGCATAAATCACCTGAAAATAGCAGATTTACGGGGGCTGTAAAATTTATTGTCCTAGAGGCTGCAAATGCGAACTGTAATTCAAGATCGGCTACTTGGAAAAGGGAACGGAGAGCGTTTACTTACTTCTTCATTTCATACTCAGTATCGTTCTTCTTGATAAAGGAGCAAAAACACAAATCGAGAACTTGTTGTCGAATTTTTCCCGCAGTTTGACTGATATCTAATCCAATTAGTATATTTGAAAGTTTTCATGTCTAAGATTTCCTCTCTACGAAAAAAAAAAACTTGAAAAAAAAAAAAAAAAAAAAGTAAACACGTCCAAATGATTACTTTTTAAGGTTTTACAAACTAGAATTCAATTACCATGACGACATACTTTAATCCAAGTTTAACTTTTATTTTTAGTACGGCATTTTCCGCCATTCTAAAGCGGAAAAAAATGGAAAGCAAGACAGAAGAGAATTGTCATCATAGAGTAGAGGTACAGAAGACGAAAAACCTGACCAGCATGAATTAAAAAAGTGATAAGCTCTTGAATCTCGTAACAGAACTGCGTTGGAGTAATTTGATTTCTGAGATGACTGGGTGGAATTTAAAATTCGTGAGGTAACATTGTGCATTTTGAGGAAAAAGATTGAAAAACGTGTCACTGGATCTCATTACGAACTTTTTTTTTACATTCCTAGATTACTATATGATGACAAATTTGGCACCCGGGGATGTCGCCTGTTTTTATAGATACGAAAGGAACATGAAATCCTTCAGAATAAAAACAAAGTTTTTTTTTATATGGAAAATCAAATTCCGGTATTTACTTGTTCCATGCCGGGATCTAGATCTTTAACATATGCAAACATCACGTACTGTTACATCCCACGTTGCATTTTAAGTTGTGATTTCATTTTTGCGGTTATTTTTGTTACTTGTTTAGATTTCATCTTCGTGCTTCGGAAATAAACAATTACGTGAAGAGGTTTAGCTATCGAGTGGAGAAAATCTTCTATAACTTTCCCTGGCATTCTTTGATATCTCGGCTATTGCAGATTATATAGGCGTTCATTGCAAAGATTAAGAATGTAAATTTGGACCTTTTTCGCTGTCGAAAAGAATGGGCCTTAATTTGGTTGTCTGAAATTAAAGAGTGTTCGTTCATTCCACCGCTTGCATAGAACAGAGATATTGTCAGGAAGTTCTTGGGACTGGAGGAACCTTTTAATTTCATATCATTTCCCGGCATGAAATGCAGGTTAACTGAAAAAAACTCGCGGAGCTTTTATTCATGTTTGAGGGAAATTTGATATAAAGGTATTCTTAACATGTAATCTATAGTTTCTTGAGATATCGATAGGATATCGTCCGGAAGAAAAGTTCTTAAAAACCAACGAAAGATTTTCAAAGAATTGCATTCCTGACACAAAAAAATTGTAATATTATCGCAAGAAAGGTCGAGGAGTGGAAGTTACAGCATAAGCTTCGTTTACCTTGATTGTTTCAATGCTACATTGTAAAAATATTTGTTAGGTAAATAGAGACGATAAGTCTGTAAAGGCAACACGAAAAAGAAAATTTGAAACTATATACTTAAGTATTAAAAAAATCTTTCTGCGACACGAAGGTCGACAAATTAAAACTGAATGTTTATAGATTGGTTTTGCGCTTTCCATTGAGAAAATGGAAAGCGGAACACGTAAATGCAAACCATATTGTGGGTTCTTGTTCAACAGATCGGTATTCGTAGGGGTCTTCGTACAGTTTCTTCCATACATTTTCCAATTTTAATGCAATATCACTCGCTACATTGAAGATTTCGGTAATTACACTGAGGGGATCTTGCATATCGGACTGACTCAAAACGCTGTTGAAGACAGTAACCAAATAGTCAACAAATTTCCTTCTTCATAGAAATGCTAATTTTGAAACTAAATACTTCGTTTGTCAGTTCTTGCTCTGGTTTGTCCGTTCTTGTGGAGAAGAGAAAAACCGCAAAGATAGCCTTAAAAGAAAACAAAGCGAACGCCTCATTCGTGTGTTTCTATGGCGTGAAAAATTACAGAGTTAATATAAACAACAATAGGCTTGAATTTACTTTTCAGAATGTTTGAATTGATTTACATGCCTTAATAGGTTATGCTAATGTTAACACAATCGAGTTTGCCGTGTGAGATCAGAAGGTCTTTTGTCTTTGGGTATTTGAGAGAGATCCTTTGTTCCTTGCACGTGAGCATTCATGTTAGCACCTCTGTTTCAAATATGTTTCTTACCATCTGATTGGTCCGGATGCAAATTTCCTGCATCGTGATTGGTTATCAGTTAATAGGACAGATGAGACGTAAAGGGTATTTAAATATTCGCGGTTGATGAAAGTCAGATTTAGTGACAGTGAATTTTGCTCGAGGAGCGAGTTCACGGTGTTGTTTCGTCGGTTTCTTGTCTTCAGGAATAGTTTTTCAAACGTGTCTCCTTATTGAAGATCCAGGGAAGCAACTGGTAAGTTTTTCAATCGCTTATCGAGTGGTTTTGGAAGTTAACTGGGCGAGCTGTTTAACCTAAAGGATCACAGCCGAGAACTATTTGCTTGTATTGTAACACCAAAAATGGCTTGTTCCTTCTGGGTAGAAAAAATCTTTAACAAACAGCGATCTTGCAAGAAAAGGGTTCTAAATTTATTTTAAAGAAATAATTTCCCTAATGCCTAGTATCTGATCGCGTGAGAAAACCTCGTGGAATATCATAAATAAAGCAGTGTACAGTTTCCGCTAAGCAATTCGTGGAGTCCATCGATTACCCTAGCGAGAGTGTTGCTCAAACTTAGCCCATCTGATATTTGTGTTGATGGTTTCGCAACTTTGATAAAACACGCTTTAAGCTTTACGACCGTGAGTTATTTTTTTTTTCTATAATCAAAAGAAATTCTAGTGATTCTCTGTTCTGGTTTTGAGTTCTTTGTGGGCGATCTAATGCATATTTACATGTTGTACAACAAAGCTGGAAATTTTATGACAAGTTTTGCTCGATTTTTAGATGTTTGTTGGTTGAAATATAGTAATAAGTCTCCTTTCTACACTGAAATGGAAGACTATTAATCAAAAGGGCCAAAAAATATCGAAGAGAACCGGCTTTCGCTCGCAGAAATTTGCGGAGCGTTCATTGTTATTATAAGAAAATCTTCGAGGCGTTGAGGTGAGATGGAAAGCGTTGATGTCGAAACAACTTCAAATCTAAATCTCTAAATTTTTACTTGCACGTAGAGATAGTAATCGATGGCATTTACTTTGTTAGGGGTTTTAATTGATTGTGCTAAATTTCTATGTCAGTAAAGACGAGCAAAAGTTCGATTCGTTGTGTTCATGCATAATTCTTAAATGCCACATGTCATAGCAATTTGGTATCAATTTTTAATCTAACATGTAAAATGCAAGGCATTGATAATTCCGTCAAAATCAGCGAAGGAAAATTCTTCAAGCCCGATGTCTAACTTCAGTTCATAGAGCCTATAACTGATAACATTTTGGACAACCAGGACATCGCGTTTTTTACGAGGGAAATGAAAGTTCCGTGGCAGCGGAATATTCTTTAGCTTCATGAGCCTGCAGATTTTTCATTGTAGTTAGTAAACTGTGAATTCTCCGATTGCCTTAAAGAACATTTTACCCGAGTTGAAGATCAGAAATTTCTCTATCGTCTTTGTTGGGTATTTACAAGATTAAAGTGATCGCAGAAGCCCTCTTGTAATTTTCGTGAGTATCGGGTATCTTTCGAGATCAAAACAAATTTCCTTTCTGCAGGGTTCTTACAAAAAAAATTAACCCATGAATTTTAAAATATCACTTCTAAATTGGCCAGGCCCTTGCAGGAGTTTACCGCATTATCATATCAATAAGAATTACCCTCAGATTTTAAACAAACAATTTTTAAAGTGCAACTCCTGTTTTTAGCGAGAACCTAATCTGGCCGTGCGGTTGCAATTTAACAGAAGTGCTCTGATAAATAATCTCCCCGGGGTTAGAAATGGCCTGATTTACCTCCAACTTTTCTCAAGAGCTCACTTTGGCTGTGCTCTGAGAAATATTCAATAATTTTTTCCTTTCTCTGCTTTCAATAAATTGCGGTGAGTCGAAAAGTCTGCCTACCATAACCTTGGCACGTTAGGAATGGGATTCCCCTGGTAATACACATTAGTCGTGCATACTCAAATCTGTCTCAAATAACGTGACTTCGGCGTGAGACGAGATCTTGCCTTGAAGCCATACATGTACTTGAACAAAATGAGAACTGTCGACTCAACAGATCAAAATGTCAAATGGCAGTCACACGCTTTAAAGGAAAGATTGCGAAAGTTCAACAGTAGTTCTTTACTAGCAATTGTGGGTTCAGCAAGGTGAAATCACTGTAACTTTTTGATTCATTGAAGGTATGGGATTTATTTATTACGTTCAAAGGCTTTTTTGAAATTTTATTTAAATACCTGGATTGTTATCATCGGATTATAGGTCTCTAATTGTTACGGGTTTGTTTTGATTGTAATTTATCAAAGCCTGTGAGCATTTAAAATCTTTGATGGCTTTTGTGTGACTTATTTAATTTGAATCTGTCTTTCAATCCACAGTGCTTTTAGACAAGATCCTAGAAATAAAATGCCTCCAGGGACAAAGAAAAGAAAGACAGAGGAATGTTCTTTTACTAGTTTTGTTGGTGGAAGCCCTCGATATATCACTAGACTTTTTCTGCGGGAGCTAAGGGCAAGTGGAATTGAAAGCATAGGACCATATTTTGGAAGCTTACCTCCAGAAATGCTGAACCTCTTATTTTCTTACCTAGATGCACCGGCGTTGTCCTCCATAGGGGCAACTTGTCACATTATGAATTCACATGCCAAACGTTTATGGAAACCGTTGTGTACAAGGCTGGCACTTGTTCACAAACCCACTGTTTTGTGTGTGGCAAATCCATTGAGTGAGGAATCAGTATTTTCATATGATAAGGCAGTTGAACTTTGCACAGGTGAAAAGCGTTGGGAAGTAATGGCAGCAAGGAACTGGCTATACTCAAAATGGCGTTGTGTGGTGTGTTATCGCAGCTGTTCTCACAGAGTAGATGCTCATTTTGATGTGACACTCTGTGATAACTGTCACCCTTTGTTTTACAGACGAAAATGCCATGCCAAGGTATGTCAAGCATCACTTCCTTGTAAGCTACAATCCCAGATGAGATAATTGTAACATTTATATACAGCCGTTCCCTAATGCCATCATCTGTGGCTTGGTAAGGGTGTATAATTGTTATTTTCACTTGGTCGTAGATATTGCAGCTTTGACACATTATAACTGCTTAGAAGAGTTAAGTTATCGCAAAGTTGAGAGAAAGTCTTGGTACCCTGACTTTCTTTCTCTTCTCCCCTTGGACTCCCTTATGTAAGGTTTGGTTAACAGTTTGCAGGTACTATTTTGAATCCTTTGGTGGAGCTGAGGAGTCCAAATGATCCTGGTTGGTTGGGGGCACATAGATATGGGCTCCATTTTTGCTGTTTTCTTGACTGTAGTGTACAGTTGTCTTAAGAAGAGAGGAGTGTAAGCTTGTTCAATGACAGGTAGTTGAATGTTGGAGCAGGTGGCGAGGAGTATATAAAAGTTTTATGTCCTGTCATGGGAATGGAACAAGGTTGATGCTGATCCTTGCAGAATGCAAACTAAGACTTGCCACATTTCAACCAGTAATGGCTTGGCCAGGTACCTTTTTACTGTACATGTAGCTCAGTGGTAAGGGATGTAGAACACAGAGTATGAGATCTAGATCAACTTTAATTCCTTACCATGCTTAAAATTTGCCATATTTCTTATTTATGTTAACTGTATGGTCATCAGTTTAAAAAATTTTCCTTCTGATCTTAAAAGTGACACTTAAATTTTTATATCCTAAACCTTTTTTTTTTTTTTCTTAGGAGCAATTCAGTCTCACAGAGAGAGATCTTAGGACCATTGACAATGACTCTTACGAGTTCTTAGTATCGGATCTTATTACTCTTGCGAGACGGAAATATGGAAGCAGGGAAGCACTACAAGACAGACTTAATCACAAACAACGGCAGAAGAACATTAGAGAAGCAGAGAAACAGTGTGCTTTAGTCCAGAGAGAGAGGGAGGTGTTACAAGCTCTAGAAAGCTTGAACAGCTCCTATAGTGATATAGAAACTGTTGATGCGCGTTGTATGCCATATGTTAGTACTCCTGCAAGCTACCAGTATGCTCCACAACAATCAGCTGAGGATGCCGCTAAGTGGCTGATTGGATGGAAGAATAGACAAGAGACAAGACAGAAGCTGTTGATGGCTGAAATTGAGGCAAGGTCAACTCGGTGTAAAGGGTGCAGAGCTCGCTATGATTATAGGTAAGTGTTTGGGATTATGTCTCAGTCCATGATCAAGGCTTGGGAGCAGAGGCAATGAGGTAGAGCTCATCCAGGTCTTCAAAGTATGAAGTAACCAGGAGTATCTAGCCTTCAAGCAAGCTCCCATTTTAAGGCTTACAGCACAAGCATTTATTTGCCCTTGAGTAAGTTTCGTGCATTGATCAAAGTGAACTGGTGAGAGGTCTTCAAAGGATCTTACCAGTGCTGCACAAAAAAAAACTTTCCAGTGTAGAAAAGCTTGTGCTGAAGTGCTAGTAATGAGATCCGGCTCACTGGCTAAAGATTATCTCATAATTTATATTTAATTTAATTGGCAGTCTTGCAACTCAATTTAAAAGGAACCTTAGCTTTAAGCTATATTGAAGAAATTTTAACCATATATATTTTAGGCATTTACTGATGAAATATACAGTGTAAATAGTAATTAGTGTTGAAACTGCAGATCTCTCTCCAGGTTACCATCAGCGATCAAGTGCACTCATGTCCTGGAAGAAAATGCCACAAAGTTGATGGAAACTATTAAGGAACATTTCAATCATGACATAGTTCATTACACACGACATGGACAACTGAACATGGAGACTGGAGTATATGATATGGAGCACCGATCAGCACAAGAGCTGTTCTTGAGAAATGAAAGGAGAACAAAGCTGATGGAGGAATTAGAGGCCAGGAAAACAGAGTGGCCTTCCATTTTAAATGGTACAAGTTAACCTTAATTTTGGAGACACATCAGGGATTAATTTACAGGCACTGTGATAAATACAGAGGGGGGGAGGGGAGGGTCTACACCCAGCCCTTACCCCCTCCCCACCTAACCTGCAGACTTGCGACCAAAGTTTGGACCCACTGTCTAAGAATCCTGGATCTGTCTTTAAAGTTAATGTGAACAGGTCACTCTGACAAACTCATCTCCAAGTATTGTTTCTGATTAAACACAATTTAAATTGTATGACCTTGTTTGTGGTTCAAGGAAATTTTAGACAGAGCAAAGAATTTCAAGAATATTCTTTATGTAGCCTGATGCCCTTTCTGCTCTCATTTTTAAATCCAAACAGGACAAAAAAATGCCATGAGCTGCACTTACGCCCAAGATTTCATCTACAAAGGTGTGGCTGTATTGGACAATGATGGGAACAAGTGTCGTCTGCGTAATGCCAAAGATGTGGCGAGGGTGATTTTAGCAAAGGCTCTTGGTTGGAATTCAAGAAACAAAGAAGTAATGAGTGAATTGGCTAAGAAAGGATTTTTTCCACCATTTGATAGCCTCAAACTAGAGAGTCATCTTTTGATGGATGACTTTGTTGAGAGCAGTGTTGTGGTAAGTAAAACTTTCCCCTTGCGAACAAGTAATAGTACATGTGCAAAGTGGCAATATTCTTGTAGGTGGTCATGGATTCAACTTGCCCTCGCATTGTCTGGGTTTATCATAGGTTTTGAAGTATGAAGGACGTGAGAGTTTCACTTTGACTCCTAGGTGGGGTGGTACTTGTAAATTTTATCCTACTTAGTGGGTGGTACTTGTAAATTTTATCCCACTTAGTGGGTGGTACTTGTAAATTTTATCCCATTTAGTGGGTGGTACTTGTAAATTTTATCCCTTTTATTATTTCTGAGAGCTGGTTGGTACCCAATGAATAGGACCAGTCATTTTTTATAGGGGTGGGGGTGCTCAGAGGATATTTTGAGAAGGGATCACTTAGTTATCAGGTGGGACAGAATGGGGGGTGGGGGGGAAGAAGTTGCCAGTAACAGATTACATCGTATAAAGGGAGGACAATAAAAATTGAATGCTAATGAGAAGGGATTATTACAATACTACAGAATCTTAGGGGGAGGACACTAGGCAAAATTTTGTTGTACACAACCAGCCTTCACCTCTTTTCCCTACACTATAGATAATGACAGGTCCTTAAAACTTATAGAAGAGTTTGGCAAAGAAATCTAAACACAGTGACCCTGATGTAGACTTAAAGTAAAACCTGACTCAATCTGCCATCTTGTGCAACTTTTCTACTGTTATTTTCTCTCCTCCTTCCAAAGCTTAATGCTACATGCCATTGTATTTTATTTCAGGTTCATGGCGACAATATTATTGCTTGCTCTTCAACTGAGGTGGCAGATAGAATAGCTGTGATTGAAGGTTTGGAAGAGGAACAGAGGTCGTCTGCTGCACAGAGATGTGCACGGATTTATGCTGAATGCAACAGGAAACCAGGTGAAACCTTTAATGTAATCTGATACACTGACAATACTAGCTAGTACTTCACAGTGCGCTAATAAGTTATTGCTTTGAGGAAAAAAGTTTACAGTTAACCAAAGCAACAATAATGAATCACCACTTTGTGCACTTACAAAAGATTACATTAAACTTTAAAGATCCTAATTATAATAGTTCACAATTAATAATGGTTGATATGATGTTGTTGATTCAAACCTTTTGCAGAGAGCTGAAATACAGGTTTGTTACGATGAGATGTTGTTAAGGTTGAGAACAGACGTCAGCATATCAGGCGCCTCTGGCAGCCACTTCAGTCTGTCGATCTCACCTTCCCACCCATCCCACCCCAGGGGAGGACATCCATCACACAGGAATCTCGTGTGAGAAATTAACATCTCCTATCCCAACCCTGCAGGGGAAAGGACCTCCATTTATTGGTCCCTATCTGAGAAGACTAGAATATCTAACCGTTTCTTTGGTTGTAGGACCCAGTGGAGTCCATGAATGAATTTTAATCTCAAGGCTGTGCTCTAAGGAAAATTGAATGAAGCCCAGTGCTCTGAAACTGTGAAATCCAGTATGCCAAGCATACGCTTTTTATGAAAAAAATGAAATTCCTTAGTCGCCCAAGAGCAAAAGTAAGGTACCAGGGGTCACTGGGTGCTACTAGATCACTGCCTTGAATCTTAATTGTTAGAGAGATTTTTAATTACGGGTCATAAAAACTCTGTGCCAAGGCTCCAGATAAGTCAGACATCTTAAGGAAGAGCTCAAACCCTCCAAGAAGACTCAAAATGTTTTTTGAAAAACAATAGCAATTAGTATCAAACATCTTTCTTCACTTGTTCACCAAGCTGCAAATTTATCATCTCAAATAACCAATGGTCATAATTTTTCCATACAGATATAACAGCCCTGAGACAAGTGCGGAAAAACAGTCTTGTCAAAAGCCTGAATGTTAGGTCTTTTTCTGAATGTGGGCCCAGCTCTGATCGCCGGTGGTCTCCCGCCCATGAGTTTGTCAACTGGTAGGCTAACTTTCTTAAAGTTCTGCACATTGAATGCGAGACAAACAAAATTAAATTAAATGTAATTTTATGCTCTCAGGCAGGAACTGTTGTTTCACACCCATTGTAGATTTCTGATTTAAACTGTGGATTTTGAGATAGAAAACTGCTGCTTTAACCAAGTATTTATCCTTTTTAATATAATTTACTCCTTGTTCTCTTTGTACTCCCTTTGGAAATTCTTGCCCAGTAAAAAGGAATGCACATCTTTGCTACCTCATTTATTTTAACAATTTATAAGGGAGGGGAGGGGGGTATGCCTCATTCCTTCTCAGGAGGGTGGTGCCCAGTGCATCACAATCAGAAGCTTAGAGGCTGAAAATCTCAATTTAAGTTTACTGTGCACCTTCAGTGGTGTCTCGCATGCAAGCAACGTAGCGCGTCCGGTTTAAACTGTAGATATCTAAACCCCTATATCAAATTAAAGCTTGTAGGACTGGCTATCGATCAGACTATACCAAAAATTTTGAAAAAAAATGAATTGTCGAATTTTTCACGTCTTCTAAATGCGAGCACCTGAATCACCTTTTAAGAGCTACAAGTCAAAGGGAATTTGTTCGATTGCTCTCAAATTTTGACAGTAGCTAGTTTTACATAGAAACAACAAAAAGTTTTCTCCAAATTTTTTATTTCTAAATACTTCTTTTTCAAGAGCGATTTTTGTTTGATCACTCCACATTTTTTTAATCCTATTTCAAAAATGTTCTGTAACTTTTCACTGAGATTGAATATGGCAAATTGCAGATACGTTTTTTTAGCGCTTCGGCACCGGAAACGGAGAAACACATTGAATAAGTGAAAAACAAATTCGCTTTGACCTGCAACGTTCAAAAGGTGATTCAGGCGCTTGCATTTAGAAGTTGTGAAAAATTCGACAAATCAGTTTTTTTCAAAATTTTTGGTATAGTCTGATAGCCAGTCCTATAAGTTTTAATTTGATATAGGGGTTTAGATATCTGCAGTTTAAACCAGACGCGCTACATCACTTGCACGCGAGAAACCCCTGAAGGTGCACGGTAACCTTAATGCTGGACGTGAATAATTGTCTCTGCATGATTTCTTACTAAGAAGATTATCAATGACAAAGAATTAAAGTACTTTTAAGAAAGAATCTAATTCGTATAATTATTTCTTCATCAATTTTTGTCTGTTGCAGTGGAACAACTACGTCACTCTTTGGATACAAGTTGACCACACCGGAAGCAGTTTCATCTTTAATTAGGCTAAAACAACAAATCCACTCTCAAACAAAGATGCTTTAGAATCATAAATCGAAATTAATATGATATTAAGAGAAATTTTTGTATAAAATATTTTGTTTGTGAAAGTTGAAAGTGAGTTGATTTGCTAGCCTTTGAGTGATATCGTAAAGAAGGATGAGAAATAACCAAGCATCATTGTTTAAACGGGTAGTTTAAGAATTTTACAATTTGTAATGATTGTCACCGGTATTAACAAACTCGGCAATGTGATATTTGGATGTCAAGTTTTTTTGTATCACAACACATCAAAAGTTAGGACTTGAGCACTTAAGAAATGGTGTCTCAGTTTGTCACTGAATTATTGTCATTGAAAATGTGGTTATTCTCAGGGTAGTGTTCAAATGTCTATAGTGTTCTTGTAAAGAAAAAAAAATTCCCATTGATTGCTTTCTGATTCCAAGATTCTAATTGCGCTAACTAAATGCATAATCATACTACGAGAAATGCACATGGATCACGTACAGTTCGATGAGAGTACATGTCTCTTTTATTAATAATAGTTATTATTCATTATAATGTTCATTCATTATCATAATGGTCATCTAATATTTTATGAAGGCTATTTGCAGCTGTGCAATTGAAGTGTTGATAAAATTTATCACGCAAGACTTTTCAGCCTCTATTTTTCTCAGATCACTCTCAACAAAAATTTATAGGATTTAGTCTGTGCGTGTGACAGCATGAATAGAATGTACAACTGTCCAGGGATATTCTTTCATCCAGCATTGAGAAAATGTAATTTAGTTTACGGGGAAATACATGTAACTATGATTTTTGCAAGGAAAACTCCTTGCAAAAATTAATGTATCAAATTATGGAAAGAACTGAATGTCTGTGTTGTGATGCCATTTTGCATTTAATTTGTAATTATTTACAATGGATTTTTTTAAAGACTTTTGCCATTTGGTAAATGAAAAAAAATCAGCAATAGTGTGCTATACCCAAAATTGTTAAATTAAGCTTAGTCCTTTAAGTTTCTTCACACTGTTGGCCATTTCTTATGATTTTAGCTCAGTCAATTTGATGTTAAATCAAAGATCTCTCTTTTTGTCCTCATTCTACTGGAAAATATATTCAATTCCATTGGGAGAAATTCCCATTTGGTTACTCCACAGTGTTTGGCTAAAAATGTATTAAATAACAGTCAATTTTCTTTCTTTTCAGAAATACCATTTGGGGCAGACCCCAGCTTAAACATTGTTCACTAACTTTCTATGGTTGTCGCTCAAAATGTCAGCTTTTTAACTCTTTATGGTGGCCAATTTACAATTTGAACTTAGTTGATATTACCAAAATTAATTACCTTGGTACCCCCACCTACACAGCACCACAGTTTCTTTAGAAACTTACCCTCTTTATTCATTTCTATGGTATATATGCTTTTTGCACCCCACTGTTTCTTGAACAGTTGCAGGTGATTATTTAATAAACATTGTCTCTCTCTCTTTGCTGTGAAAACATGTTTTTACTCAAATCCAATGCTACAAGGCCTTGCTTTTTCATAACTGTATAGAGAAACTCTTACCAGAAATTTTTGTACTACAACAACTTTTTTATACCAAATGCTGTACAAGGAGTTGATGCATCAAAATCGATAAACGTACATAAAGAGGTAGTGTAAACCCTGTTAGACAATAGTTTTGTCAACAGGAAAATTAGGACAAAGTTGAATAATTGTAGTTTCTAAAAGTTCACTAGTCACAGTGATTTACAAATTATGCAGTAACTTAGCTTGCTCAAAAATTTAAGCTGATATTAGTGCTCCATAGGTTAGAGTTGCGAATAAAATATAATTTAGGAATTTGTAGTTAAAGATTGACCATGCAAACATTGTCAAGAATTCTACTCTTTCCAATCTTGTTACTATTCAAACTGAAGGTTATTCAGGAAATAAACTCCATTCATAAACCCTTGTCACGTGTCATTATTCAATTAAAAGAAATTTAATTATTATTAATAGTAATTTTAACAAATTGACAGTGGCTTAGCACAGTCTGTACTCTTATCAACATCAATATTAATCAACTCAGTGGTTAAAATGTTGTAGACTTACAAGGCACAACCTTACAGACGACTAAAAAAACCACTGTTGATATGTTAAAATTACTATTAAAAATTAACAATTGATTCTTTCATTGCTTGACATGATGTGTGGCATGTTGACACGAGCAGTGCTGTTTTGTTTAGCGGAATTTGGGAGTTGATCAATAAGAATGTTAGGGGATTTTTCCAGAACAAGAATTTTTATGTATTTTGTTTCAGGTAAAAATATATAATAGTTTCATTAAATTCAAGATTGTTTCTTTAACTAAATCATAACATGTGGAAGCTTGTAAAAAGATATTTTTCAAAAAATTTAGATAAAATTCTCAAATATTCAAGATTACTTTTCTGGAATAAACTTAACCAGAAAGTGTTCATATGCTGCCATAAATCCATCTGGATCTTCCCAGTGTGGGTAATGTCCAATATTCTCTGACATTGTTGAAAATGTCCCTTTAAAAACGAGTTCCCTAACAAAAAAAAAAGATGGAAAAAATATTTTACTACTAAAACAGGTAGACTGTTTTTCCTGAGACATGTGTAACAGTTGCTGTTAGCAACAAAGGTGTCATTTTTGGTCATGTGACCAAAAAGATGTTAGCACAAAAGGTATACATATGTAATAACATTCCTTTGCATTTCTTTACCTGCGCTTTTGCTGTCTGCCATTGTTTATCAATTTTCAAATACAACATGATCCAGCTAAAAGTGTTCTATATTATTTCTTTTCAGCTAAAATTGAATTGATTATCTTAAGCGATCGCCTACATGTATGCTTTTACCACGGATATAAGAACTTCCTTGCTTTTTTTTTGTGGAAAAGCCCACCATCATTTGATACTCAGCAAAGTGAAGGAATGCAATCACGTGTGCTTAAGATACATTTGAGGCGTCAGGGATAGATCATACGAGCTTAATTCAAATATTTTTCTTTCCAGTGGCAACTGTTTTGTGTGTCTCTGAAAAAACCAGTCAACCTGTTTCTGTATTATTTTATAAATAATTATCAAATGATATTGCAAGAACTTTTCTTCAGTTCACTTTTGAGCTAAAAACATTGACTATCTTTCACATTCTATGTACTAGCATTATGAGCTGATGTATGAAAAACAGGTCACAGGTTAAATCAAAGAGGAGAGGGGGGGTGGGGTGTAGAAGCCACACCCCTAGACACTCGACCCTTCAACTCCTACAAGTGGCTAGCATTTAATTTCTATCTTAAAATATCACCCTTAATCAAATATTAAGATCATGAGAATACACTAATTGATCAACAACATAAGAAGTGCATGATTGTGAAACAAATTCTCCTTGTCAGCATTACAGAAAATGCATAGAGAACAGGATACTAATGTCAAAGTGTAAAATATTTATCAGGCCTTGACACTAACAGTAGCCAACTAACCACAGACTAGTAGAAATTCAGTTTAATTTGGTTAGTGGTTTTTGATTTGCACTAGCCAGTTTGGCAAGTAAACAAACTGAAATTGTTATAAATCTAAAGTTGTCACTAGTCACATGGCTAGTGAGTTGAAAAGTGAGTGTCAAACCCTCTTTACACCACACACACCAAAGGCAGCTCTTAAAGTGTGAGCATTTACCACGGTGACCCCAAAAATTTAAGGACAGATGATTTACTTCAAAAATTAATATAAATAATGATTTACCTGTATTTGACAAGTGTTTGTGGAGGATTGATTGGATCTGCAGGTCCATAGATAAAGTGCACTAAAAACAGACAAGGGGAAACAGAGATTGATTTTCACCTCCTAATAACTGTCAGAGGCTTAATGCATAATTATTAACCTATTCCAGGTTAAATGCTTCAATCAGTATTGTCCAACCTCAACAAATACATTTTAAGTACTAAAATCAAACATCATTCCTAAATGAAGAAAGTTACTGTCAGTAATGTTCTGGTGAACTAAAAGGATTCTGTCTTCTTTTTTGTAAATTTCTCTCTCATCAATAGATAGACAATAATGTTTCCTTTGTGAAAAAGAAATTTATGTTAACTGGATGTGTTAATAAACTTATTTAATTATTATTGTTTGCACTTCTTAAATCCACACATAGAAGTCAAACCATTTTATATAAATTACTAGGTTGCAAAATCATTTGCAGTCAAGAAACCAATTCAGGTGTCAGAGATGTGTATGCCACATTTGATTGGTTAATGTGAAGAAGTTAAAATCTCCATCCATTTCAGTCCTGAATGTTTTTCATTATTTTGGTGGCCTTGTTCTCCATAGATGCATTCTAAGCTGAAAATAAGATGCAATTTGCTGTTACCTGGCACTGTTGTGGTTTGCATGATACCAGTCCATCTTGCTTTGTTCTTTTTCCTCTCATTTATGTATTGTAGAATGCTGATCAGAAAGTATTCAATAAAAATCAAGAAGGCTGCATTTAACTTTAAGTGTCACTCCTCTAAATCCCCCGATCAATTTTCTTTTACCCCATGCACTAACTGCTTGCCCTAAAAGTATTCTATATATACATTTCAGACATCAGTAATAAAAACTCCATTCTTATTTGAATCATAATCTTTAAGCACCAGCAAATATCTTCAAACAAATCTTTCCTACAATCCTAGTCTAAACTTTTTAGGACATTCACATTTTATCTTCAGTTGATGGGACAGATGTCTTTAAAGAAACTAAAAGTTGCAGCTCGGCTTACCTGGGTACCACAAGGTAACCATCCTTATGCCTCATAATGGTCCAGAAATCTTGTAACTCTTCTCTAGGAGGCCGTGTGCCAGGGCCAAACACTGAGGCAAGACTGGAAAGGTTCTTTGATGGTTTTATAACCTAATCTTAACCCTAATCTAACCCTAACTAACACTAACTCTAACCCTTATAACCCTAACTATAATCAAAACTCCA